AGGGAGCCTGCAAAGACTTTCTCCAAGTATCTGATAAGCCGCATGCGGAACAGAGACTGGGCTCATTCTGCAGGCTAGAGTCAAAGGAGAAGAGCACCAAGAGACAAAATTCAGTTGATTGATTATAAACAAGAGCTCTGACAGTCAGACTATCTGAAAATTGAAGCGAACTGCCCTGGAGACACGTGAGCCCTTCTAGAACAAGGGAAGGCAGCACAGCAGTATTTGCTATAAAGATGGAGACTTCCTACTGTGTGTTTTCCAGATCCTGGCCACGTCCGGCTAGAGAATATTGGAAATGAGCTAGTTGGACTGAGAAGCCAGGCTTTTATTTTTATGTAATTTTAATTGATTAAAATTTAAACAGCCACATGTGGTGAATGGATAGTGCAGTGAGCTAGAGATACCCCAAAATCTGAACTCAATCAGAAACTTTCTAGATGCCGTGCTAGAAACATAACTGGGTGAGTTTACATCACTAAATTCTTCACAGTATTCAATAATATTCAAATAATATATATTGTTTGGTAATTCCTGGAAATGGTAGGCTACGCAGCGATTTCCAATAATTAGTGTATTTTTAAATGGCCACACTGGTAATAAGATTTTGGTCCGTGGAGAGGTGGTAGAAAAGCATTCGTTAATTTTAATTCAATGAAACCAAGGTTAGTTTGTCATCAACTGCCTCGTCAGAGAAGGCACACTATGTAGGTACATTTAGATAAGGAACTCCTCCTAGGTAGATGATGATGAAGACTCACCGGGGAAAAGCAGAGCACAACATGCAAGTTCTTCCTGGCCCTGGAGATGAAGTATTCGTACAGGTTGTCAAAGGTGGGAGGGTGACGAGGCAGCTCCCTCTTCATCACCGAAACCAGTCCTTGGGTGATCTCATCCAACTCATCTCGGGCAAACAAGCTGGAGATCTTTGAGGAACAGGTTAGAAAGTGGTGTGTATTTTAAAGCATTCCCCACAGCCAATTCAATGCCAAAATCTGGTTACACACACACACACACACATACGCCATCTTTTTTATTTTCTCTCTATTTCTTCACAGCCAAATGCTGAGTTTTCCAGAGACTACCAAGAACACAGCGCTTTTTTTTTTATCAACAGTTCAATCAAGAACAAGTCACGTTCCCTTGTGCTGCATAGCTATCACCCTAAAACTATCTCCTGCACCTCTCCAATTAGCTCTTCCAAGTGTCCAGTGATTAGTCAGTCCTTTCAATTCTTCTCTTGAGACATCTAACAGCCCGGGCCCCATCAGTCCTCAGCAATCACCGGTGTGCTAACAGAACCAGCACAACAGGCCTGACCTTGAAAAGGGTGTTTGGGGGCTTAGCTGGCATCTGGGAATGCTTCTTCCATTACTAATTGGTAAAGTTGTTCCTCTATGCCTTAGTGATCCATTCAAGCACTGTCCATATATGTAAGGGCTCACTTTCCTTCTGGGAGTCTGGAAATTTGGCAGCTGTGACTAGGTAGGCAGTGAGAGGCACTAATAAAATCTTTGGACTGTGAATCCCACATGGGTTTCCCTGAGCAAAAACATGGTATAAGGGAGAACACAGGACGCCTGCACGTGGATTCCTCAAGACTCCACATGATGTCTCTTTCGTGTGTGTGTGTGTGTGTGTATGTGTGTGTCTGTGTGTCTGTGTATGTATGTATTTGCATGTGTGTTGCTATACTCTGTGTGTGCCGATGTGCATGCACATGTGTGCAAATTCATGTGGAAGCCAGTGGACAACCTTAACTGTCATTCCTCAGACACCATCCACCTTGCTTTTTGAGGCAGGGTCTCTCACTGGCCTAGAACGTTCCAAGTATGCCAGGGTGGCTGGCCAGTGAGCCCCAGGGATCTGCCTATCTACTTCTCAACACGGGGGTTCCAAGCACTCACTACCATGCCTGTTTTTTTTTTTTTAAAAAAAAAAAAAAAACGTGGGTGTTTGTACGGCAAGCACCTCCCCAGTCCATTATGCCTTATTTCTTTACTGGCCCAGCTGTGTCTCCTTACCATGTTGCTGTAATACATCTCCGCCATGCTGAGTCCTTAAGACCTTCCAAAGGGGTGGTCAGAGGAAGTTAACAATACCAGTGGTATCAGAAACAGTGGTACAAGTGCAACCATTCTATAGTTCCAACTGGGAAGTAAAGGGAACAAAAATCTAATTCTCCTAAATGAGCAATAGGATCAAACTGAACACCAAAGAGGCAGGAACTGTATTTGAGGTGGAACAAAACACACAAAAAATCTGAAGGTAGGTAGCATCATGTCACGCAAATAAAAATAATCTATTAAACTTCGTGTGCTTAAATCCCATTCTTCAGATAGGAATGTGCTCAAAATGGCCTCGTTTCTGTAAAGTTCTTGCTTTTCCTATATGAATAAAATTAATATTTTGGGCCTGTGGTGATGACTTAGTTTGTAAAGTGCTCACCTTGCAAGCATGAGCGCCCGAGTTTGAGCCCTAGATACAGCAGAAATTAGTCTGTTTTCATGATGTAGAATATTTTTGAAAAATTCAGAAATGAATATATGTAATGTTTTGCCATTAAAAAAGAAAGTCGTGGGGCTGGAGAGACGGCTCAGCGGTTAAGAGCACTGATTGCTCTTGCAGAAGAACCGGTTTGAGTCTCAGCACCCACATGGCAGCTACAAACTGTCCTTAACTCCAGTTCCAGGGGAATCCGAAGCTCTATTCTGACCTCTGGGGCATTGTATGACATGTGTGCACTCACATACATGCAGGCAATACACTCATACACATAAAATAAAGATAATAAATTTATAAAAAAGGAAAGTTGTAGGCTTTCTTCAGAAGCACATAGCTGGGCGTGGTGGCGCACGCCTTTAATCCCAGCACTCAGGAGGCAGTGGCAGGAGGATCTCTGTGAGTTCAAGGCCAGCCTGGTCTACATAGTGAGTTCCAGGACAGCTGGGGCTGCAGGGAGACCCTGTGTCAAAAAGATAAAAAAAAAAGTAAGTGAAAAAAATGGAATGATGCAGAGAAAATCAGCACGGTCCCTATGCTGGGATGAGACACAAATTCATGAAGCATTCAAAAATCTTTATTCGACCTCTACACCTAAGGCTCAGGGAACATCACAGAAGAGGAGTTAGAAAGAGTGTAAAAGTCAGAGAAACAGGACACCTGCAGCTAGTTAATGCTTTGTAAACACGATATGGAAGCTACATCAATGAAAGCTCCACAGAATGGTAGTCTAACAAGAACTGCGTAATGACAAAGCCAGTGGACATGCCAAGATGGATGGATGGGGGAATTTCATAGGGCCCCACCTCAAGATGAAGAGCTGCAGGTAATCAATGGATGCTGAGGGAGGGAGAATCAGTTTTCTCCAGAGACGAGCTCCCTGAGAGGTTATCTGAGTCCAAGTAGGCCATCCTCAACACCAATAGGAGCACCAATAAATGGACTCAGTGCATTTTATATATAGACATACATGTATATTATTGTTACATATACATAACATACATATATATATACCTGTACATATATGTAACAATAATAATCATAGAAGAGGACAAGAAACTGAGAGAGAGTGGGGGAGAACATGGGAGGAGTTGGGGACAGGCTGGGAGGGATGGAAAATATGAAAATACAATGCCCATGTATGAAATTCCCCAAAATAAAATGAAGTTTCAAAAAATGAGATAATTTAGGGGGAAACATGCTGTTATGAACTTGTAATCCCAGTACTAGAGGCCTGAGTTCCAGCTCAGAACAGACATTAAAAGTCGGGCATGGTGGCACCCGTTTGTAAGCCCAGCACTGGGCACGGTGGAAACGAACAGATTCCCTAGGTTCTCTGGCCAGTGGATCTAGCCTACTTAGTGAGTCTTCAGACAGGTGAGAGAACCGCCCCCCAAAGGTAGGTGGTGCCTGAGAGGATTAACAGCCAAGGTTGTCCTTGAGTCTCCACATGCACACACACACACACACACACACACACACATGTACCTGTAGAAACACACACAGCACACACTACATACACACACCACATTCACTTCATGTTTTCACTGTCCCTCTCTGTTTGAGTCCTACCTCCCCTGAAGAGAGCAAGTTGTTAAGGTATTCCAGAAATGCTTCATCTTTTATTTCATTGTCCGTAAAGATGAAGGTGATCCCTTTTCCATCTGCTCCAGCAACTCTGTACAAACGCTTTAAGTCTTCTATTAGATTGGACACATTGTAAGACCTGAAAGAGAGGTGGTAGAGGATTTAATTTTTTTTTAAATGGAGCTGGAAAGATGACTCCATGGTTAAAAGCACTCGCTGCTCTTGCGGAAGTCTTGAGTTCAGTTACCAGCACCCACATGGTGACTCACAATCGCCTGTAACTCTGTTTCCAGGCAATCCAACGCCCTCTTCTGGCCTCTGTGGGCATTGTATGCACATGTTACACATACAGGCAAGCAGGCACACACACACACGTAATTTTAAAAATAAGCATTTAAAATAGGTACTCAAGACAGAGTAATAACCCATGATAATTAGAGTAAAAATATGTATCAACTCCAATACATATGGAGTAATAGTGTTTTCCAGAAAATATGAGGATTTAAACTAAAGACTTAAGTGTTACCATTCAAAACAAATATATTCATCTTGAGAAGGGAGAAGCAGAGAATTTACCAGAAATGATCTGTGAAGAATGATGGAAAAGATGAACCTTTAAACCCTAACATCCAACATGCAATGGTTCTAACCAACAGATGCTATCCAGGTGAGTAATGTCTAATACCTAAAATCAATCTGAAATACAGATGAGTTTGGTTTTGTGGGGGGAAAAGTCACAATAAATTATGAACAAAATAAGTAACAAACTGCCTATAGTAGTCATGTGCCCCACTCACCAAGTGGTTAGATATAGAGAGAACTTACGGATATATTAAGGACTCTGGCATAAGTAACAAATATTGGAATGGGAGGGTTACCAATTACAAAGAAGGAAGATTCTGATCTTTTTCTAGTCACCGTGTTTCCTGCTAGATGTGCTGTGAGTAGTTGCAACACATAAAAATAAAGCAGAATTTTTCTGAAGTGCTATATCTAAATACTTATGGGTAAGTTGATGATAAGGATAGTGAAAAAACATCACATGAAGACGGTATCATGTGGTAAGCAACAGGGAGCTTAACATAAGCCATAGGGTCTAATGCAACACCTGGAACCAGAAAGATCTGGGTTCAAATCCCATCTCTGAGATCTCAGGGATGTTCCCTCTCCTATTTCCTGTGTATGAAGATCGTTGTGGGCATTAGAGATGACACAGATGAGGAAACTTAAATGGATAAACAACATTTTTTAATGTATTTATTTTAATGTATTTATTTTATGCATATGAGTGTTTTGCCTGCATGTATGTATGCACACCACATGCATGCAGTGCCTGCAGAGGCCAGAAGAGAAAATTAGAGCCCCTGAAACTAGAGTTACAGATGGTTGTGAGCCACAGTGTATGCTGGGAACTGAACCCGGGTCCTTTGCAAAAGCAATCAGGGCTCTTAACCACTGAGTCAGCTCTCCAGCCCCCATCCTCACTAGGTTTTAAACTAGGTGCTCCTCTGTTCTGGTTGCAGTAGAACCAGGAGTCTTATAGCACTAGAAATTCTAGTAAGGACGAGTCCATCCAACCTTTTCAGTTTAATTCCAAAACAGGAGAAGTTCACGGACTGGAGAAGCGTGTAGGATGGCTGGTGAGATGCAGCTGCCCTGGTGGCAGCAGCATGACTCTAGTCCTTCCTGAAAAGTTTTCTAGACTTGTCTCTGCTCTCTCAGTGTCCACCACCCATGTAGTTTCTACAGCCATGTGCTCTGCCGAGGATCTGGTGACGTAAGAGCTACTGTGGATTCTCTCCTCTCTTCACTCTCCATTGGGATCCTCACTCTTTGCATTCGGAGACCCAGAGTTCTTTGCTTAGCCATCTTTACTTTTCACTATCTGTGCACCATATAACCTCAAAAACAGTCCCTTTACTGAGACTTCTGTGCCTGCGTCTCCTGAACATCTTCTGGAATATCTCCTACTCACCGGGCACTGAACTGAATTCTCGTATGTCCCCTTAAAATGGGACGCTTACTCATTTATTGAACACATATTTTATAGAATTGGCCAAGAGGAGCCATTAATAGTCACGGTGGGTGAGACAAAGGTTATAGTGATCCTTTCACAGGGAATATCTCTCTAGTGAAGGCCACAGAAATGTGAATGGGTTTTGTGTATACAACATGGCAAGTGTGCTAGAGAGGTTAGGGTGGCATCCTGGTCTTTCTTCTCTCATCAGTCCCAACATCCCATCCGTCCTGCCCACTTTGAACTGTGCCCACTAGCCGCACTGCTTAGGTCCCCACCGTCCCTGCTGCTGTGCATGCTCCCTGGATTTTCCATAGGCAGACATGGTAGGATGCAAAGGCGGGAAAGTGGCTGTCATAAAGATGTTTACGCTCACGGCGCCTTAAAAATGGGAAGGGCACCTCCCAACACACAGAGCTAGCAGAGGCCGTTAAGAGACAGGGGTTGTTGGGGGACAATGTGGACAAGAGCCCATGGTGGGTTTCCACTGGAATGACAGAGAAAATAAGCAGATTAGAGGGTTGGCCTGTTCTGATCATTTCTTTTTAAAAAATATTTTAGTTATTATTTTTGTTTTATGTGTGGGACTGTATTCCCTGCATGTATGTGAGTGCACCCGTGTCGTGCAATGCTGCAGAGGTCAGAAGAGGGCTTAGGATTCCTCTGGAACTGGAGTTAAGGACGGTTCTTAGCTGCCGTGTGGGTCCTAGGAATGGAACCCAAGTCCTCTGCAAGAGCAGTCAGTGCTCCTAACCACTGAGCAAACTCTCCACCCCCACCCCCGTTCCAGTAATTTCCATAGGCTCTGAACATAATAGCTTGTCTCTTACGGCACATGCCATGCAGCCCTTGTGTGATTGGGGCAAAGGCTTATGTTAGTCACACAGGGTAAGAGGTGGACAGAGGCAGTGGTTTAGAGGATGGACAGACAGAGAATGGCTGGTCTGTGTACGAAAGGCACCCAAGCTGTCAGGACATGGTGCTACATACGGGGTTATCCCCAGCTTTCTGGTAGCAGACACAGGAGGATCACAACTTCCAGGCCAGCTTTGTCAAAAGAGAGTCTGGGGGCATTCTACTGGGCAACTTTTTGGACTAAGAATCAGCTAGCCCAAGAGGGTCCAGTCTCTCCCTAGTGAGGCTGTAAGGCACCAGATACCACAGGTCAAAAATACTAAAAATAAGAAAATATAGTTAATATACCTGCCTTAACTTATACCTTAACTTAAGGCCACCAACCCTAGGATCATAGACTCAGAAACCTTGGGGAATCAGATGGATAATATCAACAAGGGAAACAGGACTGGGGGCAAAGTTCTCGGCTATATGGAAAGAATGCATGTCCCACTTGCAGAGACATGCTGAACTCCATCCACCAGGAATGTAGGCTCTCTGTTGTCCATTTTTCCAATTATTTCAAGAGAAGTAAAAAGTATATCTTTTATTATATGAAACCTCTCAATTTTAAAGTCTTTTAAATTTAACCTTATTTTATTGATTTCTAGATATTTGATATCTAGTTATGGATTTTTTTAAATGTTCTTGCAAATTGTATATGAATAAATAAATGTTCATTTGCTATTTGTTTAGCAGGGAACTTGTGTGCATGCATGTATACATGTAAGTTACTAAAAGGATAGTAAGACAAGGGTCAAATAGTCCAGACAAGCCTGAAGGAGAACGAGATTAGAGATCTGATATTCCTAAATATATATACACATACGTCTATATGTATATAATGCATTATTGCAAAGCTGTGGTAATTCTAACAGTAGGTAAAGGTGTAAAGATAGATAGATAAACCAGTGGAAGGAGCTATAGTCACATTCATGATCAGATGACTTTATGATTAAAAAAGAGTGTCAGAGCTTGGGCTGGAGAGATGGTTCAACAGTTAAGAATGCATGTTGCTTTTTCAGAGGACCTGAGTTTGGTTCCCAGCACCCCTGTCAGACAGCACACAACTACCTGTAACTCCAGCTCCAAGGAATATAATGCCCTCTTCTGGCCTCCATAGGCACTGCATTCACATGAACATAAGTGCCACCCCCCCTCATGCACACACATAATACATGTAGTTAAAAATAAAACAAATCTTTTAGGGGTAGAGATGGCTCAGTGGTTAAGAACACTGATTGCTCTTCCAGAGGATCTAGGTTTAGTTCCCAGGACCCACATGGCAGCTAACAACTGTCCTTAACTCCAGTTCCAGGAGACCTGACACCCTCTTCTGGCCTCCTTGGGCACTGCACAATATGGGTGCATTTACATACATGCAGGCAAAACACATGTTGCATAAGATAAAAAATAAATTAATTTTTAAAATTAAAAGATAAAATATTTTTTTAAAAAAAGAACAAATCCTGTAAGAGTGAACTGATAGAAAACTTAAAACCAGTCAAAACTAATCAATGGGTTTAGTATTCAGAATTTGGTGGTCACTGGTGGGAGGATTAATGACTGAGGTGGAACATGGAAACATGGAGAGCAGACATTTTTGTCCCTGGGTGTACATAACTTTACAATGCCCATGATCTGTGTGTCTGTGTATGTATCCCCTTATGTATGTAATACTTAAATTTTGAAAAATTAGAAAATTCAGGGCCAGAGAGATGGCTCAGTGGGCAAGGGCACCTGCCACCAACCTGAGTTCAATCTCCAGGATCCTTATGGTAGAAAGATGGAATAGACCCCTAAGTGCCTTGGCATGCGATAGATTTTTTTTAAAGAAATACACCAAAGTGTTATATTTTTTAAAGTAAAAATTTAACTACAGAAAAACATACCATCATGTTTTATCCTATCTTACCTGGTTAATGTTATCTGAAATATTTGATACCCAGCAATAAAAGAAGCCAATCTTGAAAGACTTTGCTTCCCTGAGCCACCAACACCTACCAGCAGTGCATTTCCACATGAGGTTCTAATTATTCGTGAAATCTATTTTTGAAATAAAAGAATGCTTATTAGTAAAATGGATGCAGTTGTTTACATTTTCTTGCACTAAAGGGGTCCAAGATTTGACGACGTTTCCAGACTACACTGGACATTTTCCTTGAAATGCTATTTCTTGTGATATTTTTAGGCTTCTTTTTGTTTTATTCAACTTAATTCTTAAATTTTATTCTTTTTTTTTGTCTTTTTGAGACAGGGTGTCCCTGTAGCCCCAACTGTCCTGGAACTCACTATGTACACCAGGTCAGCCTTGAACTCACAGAGATCCACCTGCCTCTGCCTCCTGAGTGCCAGAACTAAAGGTGTGTGCCACCACGCCCAGCTTATTCATAATTTTTATGTTATGTGTATGAATGTATTGCTTGCATGTGTGTAAGCCTGTGGAGGTCAGAAGGTGTCATATCCCCTGGAACTGGAGTTATGGACTATTGTTAGCCACACCATGGCTGGGTGTCCTGTTAGCCACACCACATGGTGTTCGGAATCTAATCTGGGTCCTCTGTGAGAACAGCCAGTGTTCTTAACTGCTGAGCCATCTCTCCAGCCCCTGTTCAACTTAATTTTAAAAAAAAATTTATGTGTATTTGTGTATGTCTGTGTGTGTTTGTGTGTGTGTGTGTGTGTTTTTAAATTTATGTGTATTTGTGTATGTCTGTGTGTGTTTGTGTGTGTGTGTGTGTGTGTGTGTGTGTGTGTGTGTGTGTATGCAAGTCCCATAGAGACCAGAAAAGGATTGTGTCTCCTGGAGCTGAAGTTACATGTGGTTGTGAACCACCCGATGTGGGTGCTGGGAAATGAACTCAGGTCCTCTGAAAGAGCAGCGAGTGTTCTTAATCACTGAGCCATCTCGCTAACCCCTATATTTCCATCATTAAAAAAACAGAATAAATTGGTTTTACTCTCTTCTATTTCATAGCTATTCCTTCTGTGGATTTATGTGCATGTGTCACTTAACTATTTTTATTTTTTTAAGATTTATTTTATTTTTATTTGTCTGTGTGCCTGCGTATGTGCATGTACTGTACAGGTGCATATGGCAGCCAGAAGAGGGTGTCAGATCCCCTGAAGCTGGAATTACAGGCAGCTGTAAGTCACCAGACATGGGTGCTGGGAATCGAACCTGGGTCCTCTGCAAAAGCAGCAAGTGCCCTTAACCACTAAACCATCTCTCCAGTCCCCATTTTATTATTATCTTTTTATTTTACATGTATGAGTGTTTTGCCTGCATGTGTATAAGTGCACCTGTACATGCAATGCCCACAGAGGCTAGAAGAGGGCACTGGAATCCCTGGAACTGGAGTTAGAGACTGTTGTTAGTTGCCAAATGGGTGCTGGGAACTGAACCAGGGTCTTCTGGAAGAGCAGCAAGTGCTCTTAACCACTGAGGTATCTCTCCACCCCCATATTTATTTTCAGACTCAGTGGATGATGAGGCTAGATAAAACATAAGAACGTGAGTGTGTCTTATCCATGAAGTCTGTTACACTGATTCCTGAAGACACCTGTCTACATGGAACACTTCCTCTATCATATCTCTGTCCTATAAACTTTTCACAAACTACCAAAATTTCTGTGTATAGTCAGGGCAAGGGGGACAGCCTTCAATCTGGTATGATTTCTGTGATTGATTTCTGCAGTAAGGATAACATTCAAATGGAAGCTCAGCTCTTATTCAGGTCATTTGAAGACATTGCTAAATACTGTCCTTTACATTAGTGTCACTGACTAGGAAGACTCTAGATGGACCACTAAATCCATTTTCACCACTAAGAATAACTATTATTTTTTTAAAATACATGGTATTACAGATGGTAAATCAGTAATGACACTTTGGTTATAGACTAATTATATCATATTTTTAAATATATAAATCACTTGGGTGGTTTTGCACCTAAAAGAGGGTCTCAGGTCCCATCAATCCTCAGCATGGTAGGTGTTTGATAATTAGCATGTTGAATGTATATGGAGAAAGCTTAAGATATGGAGAATTTCTCGAGCTTTGACCGACGCTTTGTCAAACCTCCCTATGTGATGTCATCGCATCTAGGAACCCCTTTTCCATTGCCCACTAACATAAGTGGATAATTGTCCTGAACCTCTTCATCGTATCACACCATGCTTCTCTTCAGTTGGTACGACCTCTAAACAGCTCCTATTTTTCACTAATCCTGTCTTATCAGTTCCCCATCATTTTCGTCATAATCTGTATTCCAATCTCAAAGCTGACATCGTCTTTTCTGACCTGGCCAACAAGATTCCCACAACAGGGGTGGGGAGATGGCTCAGTGTGTTAAGGGTGCTTGATGTGGTCACACACCCTCAGCACTGTGGGCAGACAGGAGGATTGCTGGGACTCTCTGAATCCCAGCCTAGATCCAGGTTCAGTGAGAGATTCTGTCTCAAGGGAGTAAGAGAGGCAGCGGTAAAATGGGACACCCAGCCATTCACCTGGCCTCTTCTGGGCACAGGTACACACAAGAGTCCCACAATAATAAAATGCCATTCCAAGAAGGAACATTTTTCTATAGGCTGCCCCAGCTTCCTTTGAAAAGGTAAAGTACTTTGAATCACATGTGGAAAAATCTCAACACAGAAGCCATTCATTTGCCTTTAGAAAACATTTGCTGCTGTGTAGGTAAATTCAAGTAAGAGGGTATCTAGTAAGCCTTTGTCTTCGGAGGTAGGCACTCAATTACTTGAGGCTGAACCAACATATGGATGCTCTTCTCCACCTACCTGATAGGGTAAGTTCACCTATGTAATTTACTAAACTCTGGCTGCATCTATTTATATTAATAACTAGCTAATAATTAGAACCTTAATAAGATGAGTCATTGCATCTTTAAAAAACACCAGGTCAAGAGATGTTCCTCTAATGATTTCATTGAACTGCCTCTGGTAAAACCGGAGTTTTTCACACAGGAATTCAAAGGATGGCACCTAGAGGAGAGAAAAATAGTATTTAAGATCCAATTTTTTAGGTAGCAAATATTTTTCTTAGTTTTCAATCTGCAATGCAGTTTGTGACTTTTATTAAAAATAGTAGAAGTTTTACATTGGTTATGTGGCCGAATGCACAAGTTTGTTGCTCCAAAGCAAACCAAACCTGAGTTTTGTAAAAACCTGCACTTTAGATTCTTTTGTCATGGAATCTCCTTTCTTCCCCTCCAGAAAATCCCATTGAAATCGCATTTCAGATTTCATTAAAGCTATCCATTAATGTAGGAAGAACAATGAGTTTCCATCTAATCAGCTGTCTAGGGTCAATTCCTAGATATTTTATCTAGGAACCATTGATATTGAACAAGACACTTTCATGCTCCATTTTCTGTCTTGGGGCGATTGGTAAAGGCTGTCCAATCTTCTGAAGGGGTAAATTAGCAGGTATTTTAGGCTTTGTGACCCTTACTATTTCTTTTGCAATTACTCTGTTACAGATCATGTGCAAACAAATAGATGTGGGTGGGTTTCAATAAAACTTTAAGAACCTTGAAATTTTAATTCCATATAGTTCACACAGTGTTATTTATTCATTTGGTTTTTTCCAACCATTAGGGGGAAAAAAAAGGCTTCTTGGCTCACAAGTCTAACAAAAACAGAAAGAGGCTAAATCTGGCACAGGGAATAGTTATTTGGTATAGAGTAGGCTCCTACGCCAAATCCCGGTATGAAAAAATACTTACTAAATTTCATATTTATATAACACTTGATTACCTTTCTAAACTCTTTTTTAAATTTTTTTAATGTTTTTAATTTTTTTTATTTGGTGTTTTTGAAACAGGGTCTCCCTGTAGCTCCAGCTGGCCTGGAACTCACTATGCAGACCAGGCTGGCCTCAAACTCACAGAGATCCACCCGCCTCTGCCTCCCGAGTGCTGGGATTAAAGGCGTGTGCCACCACACCTGGCCAAATGTTTTTAAATTTTTATTTTTATTTATGATTTTTATTTTATGTGTATGAGTGTATTGCCTGAATGTATGTAAGTGCACCCATGCCATGCAGTGCCCACAGAAGTCAAAAGAAGGTGTCAGATCCTCTGGAACTGGAGTTAATGATGGTTGTTAGCTGACATGTGTGTGCTGGGAATTGAACCAAGGTCCTCTGCAAGAGCAGTGCTCTTAAGTGCTGAACTATCTCTTCACCCCCCCAAATTCCTTTTTAAAAAAGATTTATTCCTCTGTGTGCACGTGTTCACAGGACCAGAAGAAATTATCAGATCCCCTGGAACTGGAGTTACAGGTGGTTTTAAGCCATTCTACATAGGTACTTGAGAACCAAACTCAGTTCCTCTCTTGAAGAGCAGCAAGTGCCCTTAACCACCAAGCTGTCTTTCTAACTCTTTCCAAACTCTTATTAATTAAAAAGAAATCCGCTGTTCTCTTCATAACTAGAAAATTGTATCTATCAAGAATTTGAGGGTTTTTTTTTTACTATTTGATAATAACATCTATTTTGATCATTTTGCTGAATTTGCCTAGAACTTTCAAAGCAATATTAAATAGTGACAGTAAGCATATTTGTTTTATATCTGACTTTAATGAGATTGTTTCTAAATTCTTTAAAGGAGTATACTGTTCACCACTCATCAAAGAAACTTCTTTTTGCAACAGATGGAGATTTGTACAGAGTTCTACAGCTGGTCACACACAGAGAATAAGTGTCTGTGAGATGCCCAACCCTAAGTGACATATCTACAATGGAATCTCTATACCTAAGGCTCATGAAACATAGCAGAAGAGGGGGCAGAGAGAACAGTAATGTATCTCTTAACTCTCACCAGCAAAGCTTCCTCATGCAAGAGTATGATGCATATAGAAGGTCACAGGTGGCCAAAGTGTAGAGAATAAAGTCTTCGGAGAGCCTGCCCCTGGATAGGATTCCTATATTAAACCTCACCCACCCATGGCTCAGGAACTATTGCAGAAGACGGGGCAGAAAGATTCTAAGAGCCAGGATTGGTACATGATCATAAGGAAACAGTCTTCCAGGCTTCTGGGAAGTTGCTCATATAAACTTACAGCAATGGTGACAGCATGCACAAGACCCATGAAAACTCAATCAGACAACAACCCAGCATAGAACGGGGGAAATGGGCAGCAGGCCCCAACCTTAGCTGAGGAACTATTGGCAACTGATCACTGCTGGGTGAGAAAGAGTTGAATTTCCTTAAGGGAGTGACTCTAGATAGGCTGACTAATCTCTAGTGGATGAACTTGCACTGAGGGACATCTGGGTACACAAACTTGACTCAACAGGTCTTAATACATGTGTTGGGATGCATGAAACCCAGTGGCGGGATTGGGGGACGAGCCTATGTATGGGGTAGTGCAACTGGGGGAGGGGTATAAAGATGATTAAGATGTTTTGTATGGAGTGCACAAAAATTCAATTAAAAACATACATTAAAGCAAGAAAAGGGACTATTTTACTTAGTGTATGAAGACTGTGAGTTA